TATAATATGCATATTATCGGTGTAATATCTTCTACAGGGATGAGGGGTTTTTATGATATTTAATTAAGCAATTATGTACTTGGTATGAACTTATAAGAGACTTAATTTCATTCATACATCTAGACATGTAGGTATCACCACGGAAATAACGATGTACACTTTTTCTTAAATTTTGGCTGGTTTGTAAAAAATCTAGAAAATTAGGTAACGATCTCTTTAAATTTTTTTTTTAACATAAAATACTCGAAAACTAGTGCACAAATAAAATTGATCTTGTGTTTTTTTCTATTTCTCGCTTCTTGTTACATAAAATTCAAACCTAATACTTAGAATTGGACATTAAATTGAGAAAACTCAACTGAAAAAAATTACATAAATGAAGCATGTAATGGATCTTGTAACGAAAAACCGGGCAAATTGTAAATTAATATAAATAAGCAAGTCTATATACTTTTGCTTTCGGCTTGGACTCTTCAACTTCAATCTTCGCTCTCAATTCCAGTCTTTCGTCTTCAATTTTCACTCATGGCTTGTACTTTTAACCATCACTAGTTTGATGCTCGTGTAATGAAGTTAGTTTGTCTTGCGGTAAGGATTGATGGAAGATATGTGCATTAGATTAGATGAGCAGAACGAACTTAATTTAATGAGGTAAATTTACATATAGCCCCCGTTTGGCACCCATTAATTTCTCATTCTCATTCTCATTCTCATTCTTCATTTCAACCACACATTCTCCAAATAAAATATTATTACACACAAATCAAAAAATTTTCATTACTTTTCCACCACACATTCTCACATCAATCACTATTCCAAAATTAGATTCAAACACACCCATAATGTTATCAATAAAGTATAGTCACAAACCATCTGAAGAGCATGAGGAAATAAAGTAAATTTTAATTCATACATAAAATAATTACCAAATAAGAGTTAACTGTATGAAGGGACCTAAACAACATGCTAGAATCCCGATTAGAGATGACACCTTGTGGATCTCCCTTGACAGAATATGAGATGGTTGACCTATAGATGAATTAGCTTATTTATGTTTTTCCATTGTCAACTGTAATAACCA